CTTGTGAGACGAACCTTATTTGGGCCAATGCTGTCGCATCGCAGTGGTTGGAACCAGTTCTTGAACGCCTTACGAGCCCAAAAGTCATGTCTCAAATCAACCCCACCTTCGAATGTCCCCAAAATTACAAGTGGAATCCGATACGTAGCGCATCACAGTACTAGGGTAAACTTCGGACATGTTATCAATTTTTTCGTGAGATGGAACATTACAAATCAAACGAATCCAGCAAAAGTGCATACCTCTCTAGCGAATTGCAATGGGAAATTTTTCATCTGTCGTGTGAACAGCCGTGAACCATCTGGCAATTCGACGAAAAAGTACGGACATCCTTCGTTTACTAGATCGGTCAACTGGAATCACGGAGCTTTATACTATAGTTGACGGCATTCACCAGTACTCTAGTATTGTCTGGACGAACTTTGGCAATGGACGTGTCGGATTAAAATCGCTAATGGCCAAGGTCTATGAATCTATAATATCAGGTGGGTAAGGTCGCAGGCGCACCTGCAAGGGTATAAGCTGTCAACGACAACTTCTGAACCTGAACATGGTCCCAAGGAAGGGAAATGCGGTGATAAAAGGGCGTCAATATCCCGCTCCGAATGACGGTCACTCAACTCTGGTGAGCAAATCGGTTCTCAAGTTCTTCTCTCCACTGCAGGTTTGGCTATACCACCTCCAGCAGTGAAAATTGAAACTTCTCATACCCAGCAGAGTAGTCATCAAACTATATGCAGGCGCTCGCACCCAGCCCGGGTAACACAACCATAGGACTGATAGCTATGTTGCTCAGCGTCCGCGCTCTTTGCAAACCACTAAGACTAAATCGAAATAGGGAGAACTTTGAGTTTATCGCTAAATTTAGCAATCGTGAACATAGTACGCAGGATAGAAGAAATAGGACAAGTTTGAGCACCAGAAAGTTGAAGCTCATAAAGATCACCTCCATCCAAGTAAAAGCACCCTCCAGACAAAAATAGCACCAACCTGATCACTTTCATCCATTGCGACGAGTTCAATTCCTGCAAGATTAGCAGCATTCAGAAAGGCTCCACGCAACGCTTTGACGGCACTTTTAGGTATCGGTACCATTTGCACTTGGAGATGTTGGGTACGGTAATTACGCTCGAAGCACACTAGCGACTTACCAGCCTAAACAGCAAATTACCTGAAATGCTTCTCAAATCTCTAAATCAGTGCGAACTTTATTCTGGTTCTACACGAATAAAATGCGCATCAAAATACATCTTCATTTGAGGTGAGATGCATGGCGCAACCATGCACCTCACTTCAACTGCATCTCCAGTTTTCGTCATCGTCGCATTGAAAAAGGCACACGAGCGGAACATCTGATAGCGAGAATCCGGAGCAATTCTCCAGTTGAATACACTTTTCATTCGCCCCGCTCTCTTACGTATGAACCACCACTGAGACTGATCACATCCTTCATTTTAAGCCGAGCACACGTTCCCTGTCATTCACAGAAATATTGCATGGGAAGTCTATTCTCGATCTTGCATCTGCTCTTGAACGCAATCTCCAACATAGATAGCCCTAGCCAATTCCTAGGACGGCAGTCACATTTTAGAATAATAAACGTTGCCTTAGTGGAGAATTCGAGGTGTGTGCGAGATTTTCATTTTGCCCACGGCTCCTACTCCCTCACAGGCTAGAGGATGCCCCGGTATCTTGCAATAGCGCCGAGTGAGGCCATGACAAAATAATGCATATCGCCTTCTGCGCCTCCGGCCGATGAAAGAATCCACTGAAACCTCGTAAGGCCGATGTCAGACTTTGCGAATCGCGCGATTCGCTAGCGTCCGCGGTCGCGTTGCGGTACCAGCCAATTGAGTGATTCACTGGCCGCGACGCGACCGCAGACGCTAGCGAATCGCGCGATTCGCAAAGTCTGACATCGGCCTAAGATTTTCGACTGCTTCCCATGAAAATTTTCCCTCCTGGTGATGCGTGCATAACAAAAACCACAATCCTGTTCATTGCCGCTGC